TTTCAGGAAAGCCAGCTCAAAAGTCTGTTTTTCTTGGCATTCCTGCAGGATCACCCTCCAGGCAGACAGCCTTGCATATAATCTAGATCTATGTACCGTATACTGTATATTACGGGGAGGGGTCCCGGGCAAGGAAATGGGAAGGTTTATAAAAAGACAGGGTTTCTTTCGTCAGCTGCCGCCCTAGAATGCATTAATCAAGCAAAGCTGAATATTTGCTTTTAAAAGGAGGTTTCTGTGTTGGCTATTTTGACAATGGCTTCCCGTGGCAAGATTTATCTTGCCTTTTTAAGGAATACTTTTATTTCTTTCCCACAAAAAGCCTGACTGTTTGCAGACAGAATTATCTTCCTGTGAACTAAAAGCTAAATATAGATGGGAGACCAGGCAGGTTATCCAATGCTGGACACCAGATAGCTATAAACTGAAATACACAAAGCCTGTTTCTTGATCCTTATCATCGCCGCTCAGACTTTCAAAGAGATTTCTTTGATGATGTTTTTAGATCTCAAGGTGTTCCATAAAAAAAAAAAAGATGAAGAAAAAAACGGTAGGGAAATTTGCTGGAGGGTTACGGTTTATTTTAGTTTTGTACCTGGCCAGCAGCCCAGATATTGATCAAATAAATATATAAAGGTGTGCCAGAGCAGGTTTTTGTTTTTTAAAAAAAGGCAGGGAGGAAAAAGAAGAAGAAGAATTTGTAGGCTGAAATGAGGTCATGCCTAACGACACCCGCACATAAACAAAATTAAAAACAGAGGCTTCTGGTTTTTACCAAGTCGAAGGTCTGCAGTGGTATCAGTCTGCAAATTATCTATCTATCTATCTATCTATCTATCTATCTATCTATCTATCTATCTATCTATCTATCTATCTATCTATCTATCTATCAACCACTATCTACCGTTTGCTGTCTGTCTATCTGTCTGTCTGTCTACCTACCTACCTATCCACCCACCCATCTTTCAATCTAGCTCTATCATCCATCCATCCATCCATCCACCCATCCTTCTTCTGTCTATCAATCTATCATCTGTCCATCCACTATCCATCCGTCCGTCCATCCATCCATCCATCCTTCTTCTGTCTATCAATCTATCATCTGTCCATCCACCATCCATCCGTCCATCCATCCATCCATCCACCATCCATCCATTCTTCATCAATTTATTAATCAATCTATCTCTGTCATCTGTCTGTCCATCCATCCATCCATCCTTCATCAGTCTATCAATCTATCTCTATCATCCATCCATCCTTCATCAATTTATTAATCAATCTATCTCTATCATCTGTCTGTCCATCCATCCATTCATTCATCCATCCATCCTTCATCAGTCTATCAATCAATCTATCTCTATCATCCATCCATCCAAAAAAAGTCACATTAAAAATTGAAATGAGAACAGGACCAACTATGTGGGATCAAGACTTCTACACCACGATATTTCAAGGATAGAAGAGATTTCCTGCTTAGATCAGCAAAACCACAACTTCCTCCTGGATGTCGTTCTGCTTCTGAAATTCGCAGCCGTCCTGCCCGGGGTAGCCCAGCCCACGACGATGAGCTCACTTTTGCCATCAAGAGGACTAGTCACTTAGAAATGGAATGCAAAGAAACCGAGATTGGGTTCTCTGAATGTTGAGGAAGAGACCAGAATGACAAAGATATCCTGTCTTTATTATTCCAACCTCCGGGGCAAAACGATAAGTTTGTAAAATTGAATATCATGCAAATGAATATTTAAAGCAGAGTTATTAGCCTCTGGCAAATGGCAGACAGGGGGAAGTCCTGGGTTCCCACAATGCCACCACGATTTCCTTCGCTGCCGGCGTGAAAAATGTCAGCAGCTGGGCACAAAGAGGGAGATTTTCCCAGGCTTGGGTTCATTCCAAGGTTTGCAAAAGCACAAGTGAACTTTAGAGACAAAATCCTACGGGAGGGGAGAGGAGAACACCCAAGCAGGGGCAGGAACCAAATGTCCACAGTCACCACCGTGGCCACATGGAGGAGGCAGAACACGGAGAGGTGTTTGGGTGGAACATCAGAAGCTTTAGGCCAGTTTTCCTTTTGGGAGAACCTATATTCATTTCCATACCAGACCCAATCTCTTCTCCCTTCTCCTCCTTCTCTTTATCTTTCTCTCCCTTCTCCTCCTCCTCTTTATCTCTCCCTTCTCCTCCTCCTCTTTCTCTTTCTCCTTTTCCTTCTCTATCTTCTCCTCCTCTTTCTCCTTCTCTGCCTTCTTTTTCTCCTCTTTCTCCTTTTTCTTTTCCTTATCTTCTCCTTCTTCCTTCTGCTCCTTATCTATCTTCTCCTTCTGCTTTCTTTTTTCCTTATCTATCTTCTGCTTCTCCTCTTTCTCCTTCTCCTTATCTATCTTCTGCTTCTCCTTTCTCTTTTCCTTATCTATCTCCTCCTCCTCCTCCTCCTCCTCCATTGCACCTCCCAAGCAGTGACTTCTCCCCAAGCTTCTTGCAACGCAAGATGGCCCCTACCTGAATCCAGGCCCTTTGTCTCTCTTGCTCTTTGCCCTTCAGCCGGGGGCCAATCGTATTCTTCAGCTCAGGCAGAAGCTCCTCCATCACCAGATTGCTCAAGACCTAAGGAACGAAAGGACCACGCAGACTGTCAGCCACCACCACGTCCCCATCTGCCTACTGTTTCACAGCCAACTCTCCCCTTCCTCGGTTTATTATTTCATTCCCCCCATCCCAAACCTTCTCACTTAGAAGGAAGAGGACTCAAATCTGGGGGATCAAAATGCTGAAGGCCCACAAAGCAAGGATGCTCCTCTCCTCTCCCCTTCCTTCCTTCCTCTTCCTTCTTTTCCTTCCTTCCCTTCTCCTTCCTTCCTTCTTTCCTTCCCTCCCTCCCTCCCTTCTCTTTGTTTCTCTTTCCTTCACTACTACTACTTCTTCTTCTTCTTCTTCTTCTTCTTCTTCTTCTTCTTCTTCTTCTTCTTCTTCTTCTTCTTCTTCTCTCCCTCCCCCCCCCTCCTCCTCCTCCTCCTCCTCCTTCTTCTCCTCTCTCTCCCCTTGCAGTGTCAAAGGAAGTTCTCCACCTCTGCTACATCCCTCCTTCCCTGGGGATGACACTGCTACTGTTTCCCATGGGAGACTGAGCCTCAAGTGTGGGTGTGCAACACAACAGACAGGGTGGGATAGGAGCGATGGCAAGCCCAAACCCACAAGCCTCTTGCTAACAACTTCCACTCAAGTCATCCAACAGCCAAAGGCACCAAACTGCCAACGCACACTTGTCTGCTCAAGCGCTCCAACAAGTACAAGGAAAATTGGCCAGCAGTTAACCCATCCAAGCTTCCTTTCCTTCATTATTTAAAACCATTCAAAATCACATCCATTTGCTGCCGAGGTGCGTGGCCGAGGGGGCTTCAGAGGCCAACTAACCCACCCCAACCACTGTGAAATCCAGAGCTAAGGCCCCCCAATTACAGGCAGTCCTTGACATGACCCCAAATGAGTCCCAAATTTCTGTTGCTAAGCAAGGCAGCTGTTCAGAGAGTTTTGCCCCTTTCTTACAACCTTTTTGCCTGGTCCTTAAGCGAATCACTGCAGTTTGTTTAGTGAACCAGGCAGTCATTAAGCGAATCTGACTTTCCCCCGCTTGACTTTCCTTGTCGGAAGCCGGCTGGGCAGATTGCAGATGGTGTCCACAGGACATCAATACACCCCAATTGTCCAGCATTTGAATTGTGATCACGTTACTGTAAGGATGACGGTCATAAGTGCAAGGACCAGCCATAAGTCACTCTTTTCGGTGCTGTTGTGACTTCGAACAGCCACTAAATGAACGGTTGTAAGTTGAAGTCTGCCTGTCCTTTTTATGGGCGACTACTGTTGTCGGATCAGCAGCCGGGAGTTTCTTTCAACGTGGTCAAACTTTGTCGTGCTGTTTGTAAAATTGTGGTTGTTAGTTGCGAAGTCGTGTCCGACCCATCGTGACCCCATGGACAACGTTCCTCCAGGCCTTCCTGTCCTCTACCATCTTCTGGAGCCCATTTAAGCTCAGGCCTGCTGCTTCAGGGACTCCATCCAGCCCCCTCCTTCTCTGTCGTCCCCTTCTTCTCTTGCCCTCCATCTTTCCCAGCATTAGGCCCTTCTCCAGTGAGACCTTCCTTCTCATTAGGTGGCCAAAGGACTTGAGTTTCAACTTCAGGATCTGGCCTTCTAAAGAGCAGTCAGGGTTGATCTCCTCTAGGACTGACCGGTTGGATCGCCTTGCAGTCCAGGGGACTCGCAGGAGTCTTCTCCAGCACCAGAGTTCAGAGGCCTCCATTCTTTGGCGCTCAGCCTTTCTTATGGTCCAACTTTCACAGCCATACATTGCAACTGGGAAAACCATGGCCTGGACTATACACACTTTTGTTGGCAGGTTGATGTCTCTGCTTTTTTTAGGCAAACTTTAACAGCCCGCTGATAATACACCAACATTATTCTGTCTGTCTTTTGTTTTTCTTTACTATTATTATTGTTTGTGATGCTGGTCCGTGAACATAATAAAAATTGATTGACTACCTCAGCTCTCCAACTTTCAGTTCTGGACTGCAACTAATCTTTTGGGCCCCACTTTCTTCACCTTAGGATCCAAGACTAGGTGTGGATAGGACTGGGAATCTGCCGCGCACCCCAAACTCACCTGAGCTTCGTTGCCGCAAAGCATGTCCCAGGTGCCGTATTGCTCCTTCGACTGGCGATACATCCGCACGGCGTCGGTGAATGCCGGCGCCTCCACTTTGGACTCTTCTGGGATTCCTGGAAGGAGCGAAGGAGAAACAGGCAGCTAAAGTCATTTCCCTGCTTTTGGGACTCCCGAGAAATGAATTAAAATGTTTGAATGGGATGGAGGCCCACTTGATGGAATTCGGGCAGAGCGGAGACGATTTTGGTCCAAAGATCAGCCTGAAATAATGGAGCCCAGGATAGCCATATTGGAGAGTCTTTTTTAGAGGAAGGAAGGAAGGAAGGAAGGAAGGAAGGAAGGAAGGAAGGAAGGAAGGAAGGAAGGAAGGAAGGAAGGAAGGAAGCTCTCTCAGCAAAGACATGTAAGAAACGTTGTTGCTGCAAAAATCCATCAGTCATTTGCTTCTTAGTCTTTTTTAGATTCAACCCTTTTGTGTTGACAGAACCAATTGGAAAAAGATGGTGGTCACCATTCCTTTGTGTGGATCGGCATCATTGGAAAATCCACAATCAAGTTTCTTCAGGAGGAGGAGGAGGAGGAGGAGGAGGAGGAGGA